TAACTAAGGTAAGAAATGACATGATTACACAAGAAAGTAAAACAAATTTTTCGTTAACAACACTTGACGATTTCGTATCTCTGCCTATCATCTTCGTTACTTTTTATACACTCCTCCGATCCAATACTCGATGCATATCTGATCAAATCTTTTGTTTGTTAACATTTTGGGCACCGATGCACCATTTTTTCAGGAGATGCCCCAAATCCCCACAATGATCACGACAAGGCATAAGAACCATTATTCTTCTTCTTTTTTTTTGCATCTTAGATTATTTTCGCAAATGTGTTTGTCTGATTTTTGTTTTGATCACTGCATTTTTTTTTTCTTCCTCTAAAATCTTCCTATCTCCATATTTTATTTTGATGATATCAAAGGGGAGAAAATTATCAGTTTTAATTTTAAAATGTGAATTTGCAAATTATCAAATATTTTATGTTGCAAAATTATCAAATAATTTTATATATTTTTATTTTGTGTCAAATCCATACAAATATTGCCATCATCAAAAAGGAAAAGATTGTTAATCATGTTGTTTAATTTTGATGATGTGTAAAATATTATTTAAAAATTTTGGATTTTTTAATATACATATTCTATATTATTTGACACAAAATATTATCTGTTTAAAATATAAGTTGTATGATATATTTGTTATAAATATTATTTAAATAAAAATATTTTGAAAATATCACTATTCACTTTTTGACAAAATTGATTAATTGGTGGCTGGTCACTATTCACTTTTTGACAAATTTAAATTTGATTAATTGTATTATTTTGACAAAATTGATTGATTAGTTGTATTATTTTGACAAATATGATATTGTTGAATTGTTTTCTTTTGATATACTCACATGGGATGATTGATTATTTTTATTTGAGTGTATTTATAATCTCTTCAACAATTACAAAACTTTTAGCAGGGGTATATATATACATACACATTTGATATAATATAAAAAGAAATTGTTGCAAATTGCAGCATATTTCACATGTTGAAGTTTAAAATTAAAATGTCGTAGCTACATCTTTATATAAATTAACGTGGACTTTGCAGGCACATTTTTTTTTTATCTCATTTCTTTATATATATATATGCAATATATATTAGTCAAAACTCACATATTAGTAGGTTTTGTTTAACTTTACAGCTAGAATGTTTGACAAAATGAAAGGGTGCCACATGATGAAAAGTTGAAAACAAATAGATGCCTCGTGATTTGTCAGAGGAGCGTCTGCCTCTCCAACGGGTATATTTTTGGGTATAAATAGAAGTGTTTTGTGTGAAGAAAAATCAAGAACTTGAAGAGAAAAATCTGTATGCTCCAAAATTTTGAGTGTATTGTATTCTGCTCATTCACTTTTAGATTTAAGTGTAGTCTTTGTTCTTACACTTTCATATCTACTCTTTGTGAGAGAATTATTATAAAAGAGGGTTGAGTACCTTTTATCCTTATTTATCATTTTGTGAAGGAATTTTGTAAGAGCGTGGAATTTATTGTTGAGTGAGGCCTTTGTGGTGTATTGATTCATTTTGATAGTAAAGAATTTCTCAAGAAGGTTCCTTGAGGAGTGGACGTTGGCCCGGCGTGCCGAACCACTATAAATCTCAGTGTTTATTTTTCTCTTCCTATCTCTCTTACTTTTATATTGATAATTATTGTTCTATTTTTTATTAGTTAAAATTCTGAATATTGTATTTATTATTTTTTTAACATTGTAAAATTTTTTAATAACCCAATTCACCCCCTCTTATATTGCCTACTTGGGATAACAAAAATAAAAAATAAAATTATAATTTAAAAAACCTCTATTTTCTAGCCAAGGAAGCTACAAAAAATCAATATAAAAGAAAAATAAATAAATGTCACGGTTCGAAACTGTAGTCATGCCCATGCGTTTAATTAGTATCTTTATTTAGAGAAATAAAAAATAAATGTTAAAGATAAAAAAAAAATTATAAATGCATGGGGTATTATTTTTTCCGTGCAAATAAATGGGGAGAAATTTCAGATTAGTGAATTTGAAAAATAATTATTAAATTTATTAATATTAATAATTAAAATTATAAATTTTTACATACATATGTAATAACTGTTTCAAATTATTTTTCCATAGTTATTCTACTATTAAGTTCATAAGTTGTTATATTAATTGCTCTAACGTTTCTTGTTTGGGAGATTTGGTGATAGTCCCTTCACTATCTAATTTGTCTTTTCAAAGGACAAGAATTATATAAATACTTTCAAAACCCCGTAATATTTTAAAACTTGTTTCTTTTACTATATTACCCTCATATCTATCAACTCTCCTATTAAGCCATCTTTACTGTGTATTTTAGAGTAAAATTTTACTCTGTATGAAAGTAAAATTTTACTCTGTATAAAAGTAAAATTTTACTCTAAGAGTAAAATGTTACACTCTTAAACTAAAAGTAAAATTTTATTCTAAAAAACTAGTAAAATGTTAGACTCTACACAAAAGTAAAATTTTACTCTGTATAAAAATAAAATTTTACTCTAAAAAACGAGCAAACTGTGAGACTCTGAAGCTAAAAGTAAAATTTTACTCTGTATAAAAGTAAAATTTTATTCTAAAAAACTAGCAAAATGTTAGACTCTACACAAAAGTCAAATTTTACTCTATATAAAAGTAAAATTTTACTCTGAAAAACGAGTAAACTATGAGACTCTGAAGCTAAAAGTAAAATGTTACTCTGCACAAAAGTAAAAAAACGAAGGCAGTGTTTGTGGCGGCTGAAGTGTTTGGCAATGACCACCTCCTGACAGTAAAATTTTACTGTCATTCTAACACCAGAGTAAAATTTTACACTAATTCTCTCAAACAAAAAGCAGAGCAATAGAACAAGAGTAAAATTTTACCCTCATTATCTAAAACAAAAAACAGAGCAATAGAACCAGAGTAAAATTTTACTCTGGTTCTGTCAAATGAAATTAGATCAAAAACAACAAAAAAAAATCAAAAATAAAAAAACAAACAAACGAACAAACAAAAACAAAACAAATTAATCAACAAATCAACATATCTAATTGAGAAGAAAAACTTCTAAAACTCGATCAACAATCACAAATCTCAATGAAAAGAATACATGTGTTCAACAACACTCATACACACAAATATATATATATACATATATTCAAAACTCAAATCTGTGTTTAAAAAAATATGTATAACCAAACAACTCCACCAAACATGCCTCAATTTAGAGACGATCTGTTTCTCCTCGTAGACGATCTCCTTCGATTCCGACACCGAAGGACAATTTTCCGACCTATAGTTGATTTCGTTCCCAATGTTCTTGATGAGTTCATCGTAGAGATCGGTTTCGGCATTGTTGATCGCCGGAGTTTCGCCTGATAACTACCGGACTTGGCTAGGAGAGTGATGACCATGACGTTGCTATCATCGCCGGAGAAGAAGAAGTTACCAAAATTGTCGAGAAACAGAGCTTCAGATCTGGAAGGAGGAGCACGTCGGCGGAGAACAAAGTCAGAAAGGAAAGAGGAAGGAGAGAGACAGAGAAGGTGAGGAGAGAGTGGGTGGAAAAGGTGGGAAAATTTAGTTGAGGGTATAATAGTCTAATAAAATATTTAAATAATAAATTTTATCCTTTATGCAAGAATTTATAATTATGAGGGGGTTTAGAAAGTATAATTTTTTTCTTAATCCTTTTAACAATGAAAGGAAGGTAAAGTGGGTTTATAGCCAAATTTCCCTTCTTGTTTTATTATTAACTGTCTGTCAATTTGTGTGATTCTCAAACTATATTATGCTAGAGATCTATCTATAGCTAATGATATCAGAAATTGATATATTTGTTTTTGATCTTCTAATTCTTATATATGTTCAGTTCTGACTTTAATTTTAACTCTAAGTTCTTATTCCAAAAGCATGAAAATTTGGCTTTAAAAAATATTATATTGAAAATATTACTTTGGTATTTATACTTAAGTTACTCTCCTTTTATTCTAAAATTATTTCCTTTACTTTGAAAAACTATTTTTAAGTGATATTTGCTTTTATTACATGTATTCCTACCTTGAGATTAAGTCTCGTTTGACATAGTATATTTTTATTTTCCTATTCTTTAACTTTCCCTTTTTGCCTACAATTTCCATTTAATGCCTGATCTTGGCTTCCATAGGTTTTACTTAGTAATGGAATAAAAAAAAAAAAAAGATACTATGAAGGTTCAAAGCATGTAATATTAATGAGCCAGCATCATTTCATAAATTTAGTTTTTCAAAAAGAAAATAACTTTTAAAACAAAAGAGTTACTCTTTTCAAATTCCCAAGGAAAAAGAAAAATTACTCTCACTTCATATTAATATAACAAAATACTTATAAGAATTATGTTACATACTCTAGGATAACTAAAAACTTGGAAGACAAAAGTTGAGATCCTTGAAAGTTGGACAAGGAAAAAGACTTGAGTGATTTTCTTGTTTTGTGATTTACTCGTGTTTATAATCGAAGAGTGTTATTTATTTATAGTAGTAAACACTCCTAAAGACCAACTACCGAATGAATCAGTCAATAATTAAGATAATAATGCTGGGTACTACTTTGAGCCCTATTGTACATCATTCAATCGTCTCTATTGGTTCTTTATTTATAAAATATTACAAAAAAAATAAAAATAAAATACGTGTAAAAATTCTCACAGTTTTTCTTTAATGGAGTGTAGTAGAGTAGGGATCGATTACTGTATTAAAATAATGAGTGAAGGAAAATCCAATCGTAAATAATCACAATAGTTTTTATTATTTTTTTATGTGAATTTTGACACATATTTTTGGGAGTGATGAGAAAATCTTATCTCTACCAAACTCAAATAATTATATTGACTATTGTCATTTTTTGGCTAAGTTCTTAATAAAACTACCCATAGATAACTTACTATTGTAGATGCTCGATAATAATCTTAAATTCTTGATGGTGAACTTGATGCTCTAGGCTTGGTTTTCTCTTTTATTTTTATTTTTATTTGTAAATAACTTATGAGCTTGCATATGTAGAGAGAGAAATCGCAAGTTCTTTCCAAAAAATCTCCAAATGACCACTACGGACTTTTGCCGCCTCAAACTTCTCTTATCCCCAAATACCCTGCACCACCACCACCGGCAGAAGCAGCAGCGCCACTCCTCTTGTACCACTTCACTCTCTCTCTACCGAAACCATTTCCCAACCAATATACCTATTCCTTCTCACTCTACACACTATTATGTCAGCTCAAGGCATCGTCCGAGCTTCCGTGTCTTTTGCCAGACCACCGACATTCAACCCAAGGAACTCCAATCCGACATCGAATTCAATATCAGTGTTGGCCAAGATCGTCTTCTCAAGGTTCAATTTATTCGCTTTCATTGTTTTTGCATTTTGTTCTTCTTTTTGGTTGTATTTGATTTTGCTCTGGTATGTTTGAATGAGTGATGTTTTGTGATTGTTGGTGCGAGACTAGTGTGGAATTTCTGTTTACTCTGATTGTTTCCCTGGAAAGTAAGTAATTCCTTTTGCCTGGGGGAATATGAATTTGTTGGGAGCTGCCGTTTCCACACACAACCACTATCTCAGTTCACACATTTTTTTGGTTTGGAAGTTAATTTTCGTACCATTGACTTTTGTTCGGATTTCCAAATCATGTAATTTTGTTTCGAAATCGACTTCGTAATGAAAAATGGTCTGGGAACGGAAAGAAAGTTATGTGAGTAAATAGAAGCTCCTGGCTTTAGGGAAAAAGAGTCTTGGCACACCTGGCATTTAGTTCTTTGTGCTTTTGCTTGAGGCTGTGTTTGGTTGGAGGTTTTGACAAGAGAAGTGGAAAGGGAAAAGGAGAAATAATTGATAGGATTCGAATTTCAAGATATTTTTAGTTGAGTTGGGAAATACAGAAAGAAAAGAGCGTGAGTGAATCCAAAGACAAAAAGTGGTGTTGCATTTCCTTCTCACTTTCTTTTCCTCCGTGTTTTCTATTATAACCAAACAAAAAGTGGAATTGAATTTCCTTTTCCCTTTCCATTTCTCTCATCAAACATAGCTTGAGTGAAATGATTACTGGGGAAATGCATGATATGGTAAATTTTGGAGGCAAAATATATTGTCAACGAAAAGATGTGATAAAATTCTTCCCTCACATGTGGATCTTCATGTTGGAGAAGTAACACCATGAAATTTCTCTATCTCCCCTTCCTAATGGGTTCTTACAGTGGACTTTTTTTTTTCTTCCAAAAATAGAGATGATTGTAAGGATATCAAACCAATAATTACTCTAATTTGAGACTGTTTACTATGGAAAAAAACCCAATTAATGAGAATAAAAAGTTTTTCACGTTTAATGCAGAAGATGATCAAATTTATATGAACTTATGTATGTAAACTATATAGCTTCCTTCACTGTTGCTTGATGTCTGTAGGAGGAAGGTAACCTCTGTTTTTCGTATCAACATGATTTCTGTCAATAAATTGTTTTGCGTTGAATCATGAGGTATTGGTGTTCAGAAATCTTGCAAAACTGTTCTTTTTTGTTTTAAATATGCAGGTTCCTACGTCAAAAATTAGAAATTTCAGCATTATTGCGCATATTGATCATGGAAAATCAACATTGGCAGATAAGTTGCTTCAAATGACTGGTACAGTGCAGAAGCGAGAGATGAAGGAACAGTTTCTTGATAACATGGACCTAGAGAGAGAAAGGGGCATCACTATCAAGCTGCAGGTTTACATATAATATAATGATTCATGAAGAAAGCAAACACCCTTTTTAGGATATTACTTGGGATTTCCTGGTATCTCTTGACTGTAGGTTGGCAATTTATGATGGTAAAAGAGTAATAAAATGAGAAAATGGTTCTTTGAGATTGCCTTTAACATAATATATATTTGATAAATATAGTTGTATGGAATTTCTTGTAGTTCTCTCAGAATAATAATAATAAAATAAAAAGAAGATTTCTCTGTGTCAAGTGTGAAATCACAAATGTATTATTTTTTTTCCCTCTCTCGAGAAGTAAAGGTTCAATGAAGAAGAATCAATGGGGATGAACCTGTGTAGTGCAAAGTATACAAAAGCTTCAAACAGCTATGCCATGGCCCAAAAATAGATCACCTCTGAAATCTACTAAATAATATGTAGGATCTTCCTGACATGTAAAGTTGTAACATGATAAAAAAAATATGTATTTAAATTTGACCTTGTACAATCCTCTCAAAATTCTCAAAATTGTGCCTATTTTGCTCCTCCTTCCTATAAGAGTCACAAAGGAATAGCTTGCCAAGCTTCCTCACGCTTTTGCTTGTATATCCTCTGTTCCAACAGTTAGAATGTAAAATGAAGGAAATGGACAAGAGCAAACGACTCAGACACACGACTAACACTACGACTAGGAAAAGAACTATGGTGATGCTTCCCAAATTGACATGCTTCACACTCAATCTGAGAAACATGATTCAAGTCCGAAACAGCTAACTTGAGCTTGGCCAAGGAGGGATGACCCAAGCGAAAATATCACTGAAGAGGAGATATACTAGCACTCAACACAACAGATGGAGGATGAGGAGAGGTCTCAGTGTCCAAAAAGTATAAGCCATCCTTCTCATGCCTCGAACCAATCATCCTCTTGGTCTGGAGGTCCTGCAAAACACATGAAGTAGGAGAAAAGGTTATCGAACAATGGAGAGCTTGAGTTAATTGGCTAACAGAAAGCAAATTAAATGGAAATTTAGGAACATAAAGACCAGAAGGTAAAGAAAGAGATGGAGTGGGATGGAGTGGACCTTGACCACAGACAGGCCGAGAAGATCCATCAACCAGTATAATGGTATAATCAATAGGTCTAAGAGTGTCAAAAAGAGAGGAATTACCAAAGACATGGGAACTAACACTAGAGTCTAGGAGCCAAGGCTGAGGGGACTTAGCCACACATGCAATATTACCTGAACTAGCCATGGTAGTAGTAGAGGATGAAGGTAGACTAGGCCGAAGAGACTGGATAAGAGCAGTAAGCTCACTAATCTGAGTAGTGAGTGTCTCATGAGAATTAGCCGGAGAAGCATTCGAGCCAGTGGACAACAAGGAAGACTGTGAGGATGGGACATCCATAACATGATGGACATGATCAGGTTTGCCATATTTCTGCCAACACCAAGGTTCAGTATGACCTTGGAAACCACAATGAGTACACTGGCGATCACCACGTGTACGAAAACTAGGTCCACTACTACCGCCACCACGGAAACCACCACGTGAGCCACCACTACAAGGTCCACCTCCACGAGAGCCCCGTGAACCAGAATAAAAGCCCCAGGAACTAGATGAACCATGAAAACCCTCGCGAGTAGACCCATGATCACCACTACTAGAAACCAATGCAGAAGATGATAAATTAGAGGACCCAAAAGTGGATTGTGCTTGTCCTAATGAAGAGCGTAACAGCCTAGAATAAGCATTGGCAGCTGAAGGTAAAGTCTCATTAGCAAGAATCTGATTCTTGAACCCTCGCAACTCAGGATCTAAGCCAGAAAGTAAAGAAGCCATCATAAACTCCTCCCAATGTTGCTTCTGCTTGTTCACATCAGTAGTGAACGGTTGATGCTGCAGTAATTGATTCCACAAAGTCTTGAGACTACTATAATAATTAGGGAGAGGCCGGCCAGATTGACGCATAGCAAAAATCTGTTCATATAACTTATAGACCTGAGAGACATTACTTTGATTTGAAAAAGACTCAGCAAGGGAGTCCCAAAAGTCCTTAGAGGTATCACAAAATTCCACGGTAGTCGCAACATGTGGTTCCAGACTATGCCAAATCCAACCCATAACACAGCAATCCTCACTACACCAATCAGCATAAGCTGGATCATCAGTAGGAGGGAGTTCGCTAATGAAGGGACTTCTTCTTACCACGTAGGAAAATCTTGACGGTGTGGGTCCAAGCCAAATAATTGGCACCATTCAAATTCTTGGTAGTGATAGATTTAGGCATGTCATCATCCTTGCCCATAGTTATAGCCTTAGCCTCAATCTCAACCATAATGATCAATTACCAATATAGACATAGAACTAGCTTAAAAAAACAAAAATCCACAGCAAAAATAGGCAAGAGTGAGGAGAGCACAGGTCTGCCACCAGATTTGGACCCAAATTAGACCAACACACCAACTCAACAGCAAAAATCAAGAAATGGAGGACAAATATCCCTTGCTAGAAGGATTTCAGCTCTTATATAGGAACTATGTTACACGAATTCTTTGAAATTTCGAACACGACACGGGTACGGATGCGGGATACGACTCCTTAGAAACGGATACGGCAGAAGAATCGAAAGAGGAGAGAGCATGGAGAGAACTTGGCCTTTGACTTCAATCTGACTTGGTTGGAGAGCATTGATCGATCTGTGAAGTTGATCGATCTGCGAAGCTTAATCTGCGAAGTTGATCGATTTGCGAAGTCGATCTATTGTGCTTCTTCGTCTTCCCCTTTGATCTCGATCTCTGTTCTTCTCGTCTCTTCGTCACTCTCGCTCTCCCTGTCTCTTTTTTCTTTTTTGATCAGTCTCTCTCTATCTCTTCTTTTTAATATAATTTGAATTATATAATATAAACTATATTAATATAATATTATTCATATTATATAATATTATTTATTCAAAAAAATATTATATAATATAACATATCATAAATAACATAACTTTTATGTCTAAAATTAAAATAATTTATTTTGTCATATATAATATAATTTATTTTATGTCTAAAATAATGTTTATAATTAAAATAATGTTTATAATTTTTATTTATTATTTATTTGTTTTTTTTTTTAAAATAAAATTTGTTATTCCTTAAATTTTTTAAATTCATCTTCATATAGTAAATATATTTAAAAATAACTATTTAACGTATCCCCGTACCCGTATCCTAATTTGGATCCATATCCACGTATCCTTAATTTTTAATTTTAAAGTGTCCGACCCTTAAATACACATCCGCACCCGAGTCCGTGTAACGTAGTATAGGAACCTTCAATAGGTAGAAGTGAAGAAACAATGCTGTTGAACCACAAAATAGCCAATAATCGAACAAAACATCAACCCAACAGTAGCAAAACCTCAAATTAAGATCAAGAAACCCTAGGGTGATGATTTTTGGCTCCTAAGGAAGAGGTTCCAGCAAGAAAAAACAAAAAAAAAAAATCTCAATAGCAGATTTGAAAAACAGTCCCAAAAACATGAAAATACTTTCAAAAATCGAAAACTCACATCAGAGATGATAAAAAAATTTCAAAAAAAATCACCATAAATATCAGGAGGCAATTTCGAGTATAGGGCTGAAGGATTCGTCCGTACAGTGCTTACATCATGCTAACGTCGTCGTACGGCTGATGCCATCGGCACGTTTCGGTCACTTCAGATCGATCTCCAGAGTCTGTAGAAACCTTTTTGATGAAGAATCAGTTCCTTTGATACTAAGTTAGAATGTAAAATGAAAGAATTTAGGATTGGGATTTAGGAGGAAGAAGAAGAAGAAGTTATATATATCTAAATAAGCATTAGCCTCAACTTTACATCAGTCAAATATATATACAAAACCCTAACATAGCAATATGACCATCGTACCCTCAACTTAAGTAAATATTAATAATAGAACAAAAGAACAAAATTCAGTATTCTAACACCTACAAGTCAGCATTTCTTCCACCTAAAATGGCATAATGTAGAGATTTCCAAATTGGTAGAAAAGCACACTAGAAGACTTCAGAAACATCACAATGCGAAAAAGATGATTTATCATCTCCTCTTTTCTTGATCGTACAATACCTATTTAGTAGCAACATCCTCCTTTCCCTCAAGTTATCAATGGTTGAAATAGATTCTAATGCCATGATTCAATAAAATGGAAAAAAAAAAAAATTTGTTGATAAATTCAATAAAATGGAAAAATGGAAACTTTTGAAGGCACTTTTACTTGCTAAATTATTTTCCACTTTAAAACAGGGTCACATCACCAGAGAACACTGTATGAAATGGTATCACAACAAACTCATCCCTTCTTACCTTCAACTTAATAGTGCCCCCTAGATTGAGTGCCATATAGCTCCTCAAAGAAATCATCAACTTCTCCCAATTCCCAAATTTGAATGTATTTTTTGTTCCAAACAAAATCTAAATTTGAATTTAATACTCTAGTGAGAAATCATTCATATAGTTCCACCCCCAATTACAACAAACTTTTTATATGTTTCAAAACCAATGAAGCATTAACACTTTAAAACAATTGTCGTAGTGGTGTCGGACATGGGGACATGTACGGGATACGCTACATGGTGTGTCCCTTTATTTAATTAATTTTTTTTTAGGTGACATGCCAGTGACACAATGGGGACACGGCAACTAGTTTAGTATTTTTTTTTTTTTTCATTTTTTCTTTGTCTTCATTAGTGCTTTTGATGGAAGTTGGATATTGAATGTTTTTTTTACTTTTTGCTTAAATTTAAATAATCAATTAATCACCCATAAAATGACAAAAAGGTAAGAATTAACGGGGCGGGTTTGGGGCTGGGGCAATTAATTTTATAACTTAAAAAATAGAAATACTAATAAAAATTATAAATAATATAGTTTATTATAGATAATGATTTATAATTAATGAAAGTTAAAAGATGTAAGATGTGAAAGAAATGAGTGAAAATGAATACTAAAGTGTAATAATTTTGGTTTTATTTTTATCAAATTTTAAAAAAAAAAATTAAATGATATATATTTAGTAAATATAAATGAGGCAGGGGAAGCAAAATCCGTCCTCGCCCCACTTCCTCATTGGGGCGGGGAAAAATGGCCATCCCTAGTCATGAGTTTTTTTTCTTCTTCATCTTCATATTGAATTAGTGTTAGTTTTTGTTAATTTTTTTATTGTTTATGAATTAATTTACATAGAAAAAAAATTTAAAAAATATTTTTTTATTGCCGTGTCTTTGCCATGCCTGTGTCTTTATTTTTTTGAAATCACCGTGTTTGCGTCCGTGTCCGTGTCCGTGACCATGCTTCTTAGGTTTCAATATGATTAGGTTGTGTTTGGATCTAGGATTTGGGTAAGGATTTGTGGAGGGAAAGAAAGAAGTGAGGGAAATGTGAATGAAATATAAGTTTATTTTTTTACTCTAAATCCTACTCAAATCCATGATCTAAACACAACCTTAATGTCACATAAAGTACTTGTGTTTGGTTGGCACTTGGCATCCATTCAACAGTGTATGAAATATGACTTTATAGGTACTTAGAAAGAAAAAATTTCTGGCATTTTAGAAAGAACACAATTTTTATGGTAAAATGTAATATTAGGCTGTCATCCAGTTGACTCTAACAAATGCAAGGGCAAAAGTTCATTTGATTGTGATCACATTGCTAAAATTTTTCTATATGTTTCTGTTTTTTTCTTTGTTAAACTGTTCACTCCCATATTTATCCATATGAAACGTGAATTATATGCCATATCTTTTGCACATCCGCAACATGCTTTGCAATTAGAAACTCTTATTTGAGACCTATGCCTCACATTGATATTGATTAGTCATCCAAAGGAACTAACCTTGTAATTTTTTTTTCTCTTTATCTTTTGTGTTTTTTGCAGGCAGCTCGAATGCGCTTCATGTACGAAAAGGAACCCTATTGCCTAAATCTTATTGATACACCAGGGCATGTAGACTTCTCTTATGAGGTATGTGAATCTGGCTTGTAAGATGTGCAATAATTTGATATGGCAGTGGTGTAATTGGGAACATTTTTCTTTTTCTGGGAATTTGATTTTGTGAGTCATTTATCAAAAATATAAATAAATTTGTGAGTCATTATACATTAACAGTCATTACTGTCACTTTTAGTGAATAACGTTTCAATTGTCATGAGGAAAACATGAGGAAAACATTTTGCTTTGTAATGTGTTTATATTGTAGATTCAAGAAAGTTCTCATGGCATGTTGCAGTAACGACTAGTTGATGATTTACTGGCTTTCATTAGGATGTACATGTTTCAAGTGCTACAAAATGATTCACAAGAATATATATATATATATATATATTGTAAAGTCTGCTACAATTTATAGAGAGTTTCTTATTTTAAAATTGGATCATGATTGCTTTAGTAGGAAAAAAAAAATTTTTTGTTATACCCTTATTTTACTTGAAATTGATTTTTTTTAATTGCAATGTAATAACATCATGCAAAGTTTATTTTGCTGGTAGTTGATTATCAAACGAAACATATTGAATCACAATGTCAATGGTTACATGCTCTACAAAAGATTTAACATGATCGGAAAAACACCATAGGCACAAGGTAATTGAAATGTAGTATTAATTCCAGATTCAATTGCTCTTTTTGTCTCTCTCATCATCTTTTCTTGCTTTTTCTCTTGTCTTGATTGTTCATTTTGATTCCTTTCATCATATTCATTTGGATATGTTCTTTTGCAAGTCTGTTTGTTTCTTCAAATATCACTTGCATTTCTTCCATTCTGTTTCTTATTGTCTGCATTGCATGTTCCTTATTCTGCGGTGTCTAAAGATGATGTTGTTTAAGGATAGTGTAAGAGAGTTGAAGATTTGGCATGAGGCTTCTAAAGGTGAGTTAAATAATATTACTGAATGGAATAAGACTCATAGATATGACTTCATTGTAGATTTGGGTTTGATTTGTTGGATGCCTCCAAATTTGAAGGAGGCTGTGAAACTTTTGAAGGATGGATATTTGTTCAAGAAGCATAAGGGTAGTAGTTTCATGTTATGGGCTGAGAAATTTTCAAATAAAAGGGATGTTTTTTGAGTTTTTGATGTGGGTAGGTGGTCAAAAGAAGGCTAATATCATCGCATTCCATTGAGATTTCACGCATAAGGATGGTTGGTTATGACGAACTTGATTCATTAGGTTTTGTTTGGGAATGGCCATTCCAAAAGAGCAAGTAAAAGGCAAGTAGGCCTCATAAAGTTTCTTGTGAACCATAGACCACACAAACTTTACTTAAAGTGGCACATTTGCACTCCATATTGCTTTATAAGGAACATTCAGATCATCAATATTGCATGGATTTTATGGGCTGTAACATCACTTATGTTCTGGCTTGTTACTAAAATGCAATTTTGTTCTGGAAGTAGACAAAAGGTGTTCTGCATTTCATTCTTCAGATTTATGGTTTGTGCCCCTTGGAATAGATGTTGTGACTTGATTTGTTAATGAGAATTTTCTGAATGCTTTATAACCATGGTTGAAAAGCTAAGGTATGTCAGTTATGCTGATATCCAACAATCACGTGGCAGCATGAGAGCACATGGTATTTAGACATGCTTCTATGGAATGTGGCAATGCTGTAATTCTGCTTTGTCTAGAATATTCAAAATTCAAAAAAAGTTGAAGCTCTGTGGTGTCATCTATTCATCACCTCCAAGATATTTGACAATCACTTTTAGAAATTTCTCATTTTAGGTAGTTCTTACTTTAGTTAGTCTGATATCTTGGCATGACTGGAGTTTATGGATTGCATTTTGCCTCTTGTAGATCTCTTGAACTGATTTTCTTTACCTTATCTTTTGCCAAATCCAAAATTGGTTAGGATTTACAATATAACTGCCATTTGATCACCCACTCTAGGTTGTCTGTAATTTGTTGTCAGTTTAACAAGTTTAAACAAAAAAGATTTCTGATTTGTAGAAGTCTCTGCTGCAATTTTTTTTATGCTACTTAGGCCTCGTTTGGCAAGAGGCTATTTTAGTCAATTAGTCAAAAAGTTACTAAATTAGCCAAAAAGCCAACAACTCATACCAAAAAGTCAAAGATTCTCTTTTCTCTCTACTTTTTGCATATCTTTTCGTAATTAGCCAAAAAGTCATCCCAAACATACAAGTTTTTTTTACTTACCTTTTTAGTCAAATAGCCAAAAAGTTACTAAATTAGCATGTTCCCAAATGAGGCCTTATTGTCATACTCTTCCATTTATGTCTAGGTTTCTCGTTCTCTTGCTGCGTGCGAGGGTGCTCTTCTTGTTGTAGATGCTTCTCAGGTAATTATTTTCAATCATCTATTTGGATTTTCCTGGTCATTGTTATTGTTTTCATTTTCTTCCAAGCATTTAGAATTAGATGAAAGTCTTACCATGCTATTGGCAATGTTGAACTTTGGTTTTGATGATTGCAGTTAGAAGCATCCTTCTTAGTGCCAAAAGTGCAATTAATATTGTATTGAAGTATTACTATTATTTTTTTGTTTTATGTCTTTCTTGGTGGCGGAAGAAGGATTCATGTAGCTGACTCCATTTGATGGGACTTAAGGCTTAGTTTGGATTGGTTTGGTTTGGTTTAGTTTGGGTTATGTCTTCTTGATGGCAGTTAATTTCTCATTGTGAACTAAACCTTGTCTTGTAGGGAGTGGAAGCTCAGACGCTGGCTAATGTTTATTTGGCCTTGGAAAACAACCTAGAAATAATCCCAGTAAGTGGGTATTGATGCTGTTTTTTTGTTTATTTAATTAGATTGTGCCTCTTTGGTGTTCATTATGCTCCTTTGAGACACACTTCATGATAGTGAATATCAATAGCTTTACTTGCTAGACTTGTTTAACTGTAGGATTTGGTTTTGATTCACTTGAATACAATAGATCTACACATATTATTTGAGTGAAATGCGTTATATGTTTCTTGTGAAGATGGGTTTTCTTCCATTCCAAACTTGCCAAAAAGTATCAGAGCCGATGGTGTTCAACAATTTAGCATGGTATAAGGGCTTTGGCTGTTATTCCCAAAAGTAGTATCAGAGTTAATGGTTGATGATCTGTGGGCAGACTATATAGTGGGCTTGCACAGATATTCTTAATGGAGCAAGTAAAATTAAAGTGCACCCAGCTGACAGAACTGTGGCATGGTAGCTCTTCATCAAGTATAGTGATATTTTGATGGAGTGTGTCTAGTGGCTCAGTATGGGCACGGTGTTGGAGAGCAATAGATCACAATTAAGGGGGCGTGTCTATGATCTTTGATGAACCATGAGTGAATGAGTGGAGTCCTAATGGGTCTTAAATAATATACATTGGTGTTGGATCCTAGTGTTGCGTACATGGACTCATTAGTGTTAAAATCCACCTACTCTCCACCTACTTCACCCACTTAAACCTACTCCACTAAACCTAACCCACTAACCCACTACACCACTACCACCTCACCTACTCCACTAAACCCACTACACCACTACCACCTCCACTTCAACATTATTCTTTATTTCTCTTTATACATTAAATTTCTACAATTAGTTTCTCCACAACAAATTGGGCCATGTTGATGATGCGCTGTTTGTGGGCCCTGGATTCCTCAACGGTGGTATCAAAGCTTTGACTGCTATTACCAACAAGAACAAAATGAAGCACATAAAGTAAAGAGACGAACACAAGATTTTATAGTGGTTTGGCTACTTGACCACATCCACTCGTGGTTTCTCACTAGTTTAACGCCAATAACACAGACACGAGTTTTCATTAGTGAAAGAAATAATGTATAGAGAAAGAGAGAGAATAAATTGTATGTATTATTATTGATTGATATATTGATGTTTGTTGTATTTATTACAATGATTCATGATTCCTATATATAGAAGAGGGTGAGTGTGTAGTAGGTAAGGAGTAGGTGAAGTGGAGGTGGTAGTGCTGTAGTGGGTTAGGTTTAGTGGAGTAGGTGAGGTGGTAGTGGTGTAGTGGGTTAGGTTTAGTGGAGTAGGTTTAAGTGGGTGAAGTAGGTGATAAATTTTAACAATTAGGGTGACCCAAAACTTTTACAATCACACCTTCGAGGGTTTTCACTAGGTTCCACCCTTAACCTCTTCCATATACGATCAATAAAGTGGGTTTGGGCCCACCCAAAACCATAACCTCCAAACAACAAAACTAAACGCTTCGTTAGATATAAAGGTTAGAATATTTGCCTTTGAAAAGGGAGCAAAATTCATCAAGCCCAAGATGTCTCTATTATATGAGAAAGTGTGGTGTAATAGACAATTTTGTATATTCTACACTGCAGGGATGAGGTTTATACCTTCTACAAGCAAAAGAACTTCGAGACTCCATTGGAGCATGCTCTTGAACAAACTTATGTTGAAGGTTGAAGTGTACTCCCAATCTCCAAAGGTTGGAACAACATGCAAGAAGTGTTTGTGGGGTTACAAGAGAAATATAAACTCTCTAGGTATCTTCCTCTCGGCAAGAAACCCCAAATGGGGCTTGGAGTATATATAGACAAGGTTCCCAATGGCTATAAACACTAGTTTTTTCAAATTAAGCCGAGTTTGGCCAACCAAACTGCTTGTTTGGGTCGATCGATGCCTGAGGACTTGTTTCTAGATTTCTAATTTGATCAGCTCACAAGCATTATTTGGTCGGCCTAACCTACAACTGCATGAAATTCATTCTCTGGACTCAATGTTTGTCGGCCAACTTATACTTTCAATCCTGGATACAAACATGGAACACATTCTCAATTGATTTTTTTATAATTACGGGTATACGAAAAAGGACTTCTCAATATTTTTATATTGCCATCCATAAGATCCGTTGTTGCCATCTCGGTAAACTGCAACTACTGAATGGCTATTTAAGTTGGTGGGGTATGGCCTTATTTATCTTAGCCTTAAAAATGAACTGGGCTTTGGTTGAGGATGTACATATTTACACGGATACTGAAATTGACCCACATGGTATTGCCACTTTCGTGTAGCAAATAAAAACTGAAGCCTGTATAAAATATATCAAATTATAAGTGGCTCATTTCAAAACAAATTAAAGAGAAACATTTAAAAGCAAATGGTATAATGGATTTGTAGGTGGAATTGACAAATTTCAAAAAAAAAAATTAATATGCTGCCTGAATTTGTGATTGAGTTTGTGGGCAAAGATTTGTTGGGTAATTTTTGCTCTTGCATATTGCAATATATATGTTTGAATACATTCTGGCATTATCAAACTTGTGCATCATGCCATAAAAGCTTTGAACTCCATTTTTGTTCTTTAAATAAAAATGAATTTCCTATCAGTGTAGGGCTACACCAAGGATCTACCTTAAGTTCTTATCTTTTTGCTTTAGTTATGGATGAGTTGACGAGAAATATCCAGGATGACGTGCCATGGTGTATGCTTTTTGCAGACGATATAGTGCTAGTGGATGCGACTAGAGAAGGAATTAATACAAAGTTGGAGATTGGAGAAAAGCTTTTGAATTTAAAGGATTCCGGATAAGCAGAACTAAGACAGAGTACATGGAGTGTAAATTTAGTAACAGTAACAATAAAAGCAGAGGAGAAGTGAAGATTGAGAATCAAGAACTACCTAAGAGTGAACATTTTCGTTATTTAGGGTCGATTATCACAACAGCAGGGGAGATTGATGCGGATGTGGCCCATAGGATTAAGGCGGGATGGTGCAATTGGAGAAGTGCGTCTGGGATACTGTGCGATAGACGAATACCCACTAGACTTAAAGGTAAGTTCTATAGAACGGCTATTAGACTAGCGATATTGTATGGGACGAAGTGTTGGGCAACCAAGAAACAACATGTAGATAAGATGAGTGTGGCTGAGATGAGAATGCTAAGGTGGATGTGTGGCAAGACTAGACAAGACAGAATTAGGAATGAGTGTATTCGGGAATGGGTAAGAGTAGCACCGATAGAAGATAAGCTAAGAGATAATCGATTGAGATGGTTTGGTCATATTCAACGGAGACCAACAGAGGCAGTAGTGAAAAGATGCGATGCTGTAACGGTAGATAGAAGTGTTAGGGGACGGAGTAGGCCTAGATTAATGTTGATTAGCGTTGTAAATAGAGATATGGATTTACTTAATTTGACTAACGAAATGGTCTTTGATAGGGCCGCATGGAGAACAGGGATTCATGTAGCCGACCCCATTTGATGGGACTTAAGGCTTGGCTTGGTTTGGTTTGGTTTGGTTTGGTTTGGTAAATAATTTGTGTCGCCTGTTTTCTTGTTATGGTCAGCATTTCATACTTATCATGCTCCTAAATTCAAATGTTATTTTAATTTATCCTCCCGAATTAGAATATTATTAAACAGAACATTCATGACTGCTGCAGGTTTTGAACAAAATAGATTTGCCAGGTGCTGAACCAAGTCGTGTTTCCCAGGAGATTGAAGAGGTTGGTATACATCCCGTGAGAAAGACAAAAAATCAATTCTATTTGTTTGATGGGTGTGGTTGTAGATGAGGACTGGATTCAAGGAAATCCAATTAAAATTGTTAATTTGTATCATGTAAAGATAAGTAAGTATTCTAAACTTTAGTATTGCATTTCTTCAAAAGACCACCTGGAACTGGTATACTTGCATGTTTCCTCATTCTGAAGGAAAGTGCTGCTGTTGGGATATAAATAAAATAATGCAAGATGTCAATGTGGTTTATTTTTGAAACTTTGTTCTAAATTGAACCACTTTCTGTGCAGGTTGTAGGTTTGGATTGTAGCAATGCAATCTACTGCTCAGCAAAGGTTTGTTTTGATTAATTTGTATTTTAGGGAATGTGTTCCATGTTTGTACATGATAAGTAGTATAGGAAAATGGACTTATTCTACTTATGGTTCTATCGCGATAAAGTAGGGAATTTGATGTTTTAACTGGGCCTTGTCTTCTTTTGTAGGAGGGGATAGGTATAACTGAAATTTTGAATGCTATTGTTCAAAAGATTCCCCCACCTCGTGACAGTGCTGAAAAACCTTTGAGGGCTCTAATATTTGATAGGTACCTAACCTAATTGTCATGGTTGAACTTTGTCTGAATGGATTTCATATATTTAATAGCTTATTTGTATAATTTATTTTGAAATTTGATTTCCACTCGGAAAGATCTTGCTAATTTCTTGCGTAAGGGATTGTGATTGAGGCAAGCCTTCTATATGAAGATCTTTTTTATCATTACTTACTGAGAAGATAAATGTGATGGCAGTTGAGTTGATCCTTTAGCTGATAGAAAAGCTCTGTAATCCTAAAAATGGCAGTGTATGGGAGTGATAAATTCCATGGGAGAATGTTGGTAATACTAAGGACGTTGTTGGGAGTGGTTAGAGGCTCATATTAGTGATTAGCTTTGATTTTGTGTCTTTCCTAGATGTTGTCTGTTTATATTATTGATGAGACTAAAACACCAAGTTCAACATCAGATATTTATTTTAACCTTGATTATTGTGGATTTACTAAAAAAACACACGAAGAAATTTGCTTTAAAAAATTCCTTAGAATTAGAATGAAAATTAGTTGTCTGGGATAATTTCTTTTACTTGGCTGGATGACTGCTCTTACATTCTTAATGAATGGAAAACTGATGAAGGGCCATCCCCTCCTCTTCAGATGTATGTATGTCCTTGGTTACTGGAGTGAGAGCAAGAACACAAGAGGGGCGGGCCATTTTATTAAAACAATAAGCTTGAGCACATCTCAGAAGCATCTATCCATTTGTATCCATGTATTACCAAAATTCGATGCCTTTTGCATTGTTCATCTGCAGAACTGATTCTACTCGACCAATTAAATGCTGTTGTTCTCTCAATTTTTCTAGAAAATACTACCTACATGATTATATCTTCAATTTTATATAAAGAGTGTTTTATTTTTTTGCTTATGTTTGTCTTTAACTTTATTTAATACACAAGTTACCACTCATTGCCATTTATCTCTCTGTTTCCTCAAATTCTTTGTGCAGTTACTATGATGCATATAGGGGTGTTATTGTATATTTTCGAGTCATTGATGGGACTATAAAGAAAGGTGACAGAATCATTTTTATGGCCAGTAAGAAGGTGAACTACTTTCTGCAAGTCCCCTCTCTCTCTCTCTCTCTCTCAGCAGCCTGTGAACACACAACATTCTTCTGCTTACTTGGAAACAACGAATTTGGATAATGCAGGATTATTTTGCTGATGAAATTGGAGTTCTATCTCCCAATCAGTTGCAAGTTGATGAACTATATGCTGGTGAGGTAGATAATAGCATCCAATGATTTAGTTCTGAACAAAATTTCTTTTCTTGGTTTCTTATTAGTGTTGCTTCTTGCTCAGTGGTTTTCTTTGACTGGCGTTTGGATTTTTCCATGCCATCTTTATTCTTGTGAAACTTTTTGCAGCCAATTGGTGCTTATACTTTTAGAACCTCATGTCCTTCACCTCCTAAAATTTTTAATTGAAGCCTAAAATTCCTATTGATTGTTTATGACACATGTATTTCACTGTTTGGATGAAGAAGGTATGGTCTCAAAATACATGTTACTGATAGAACCTTTTGTTTTATACAACCATGTACAGAGCATATAATGAATATGTTTCAGCACTTTAAGGTAATAACCATATTGGAATCCATGATATGGTCTTAAGATAAGGATTTGGCTCATCTTAGTTATGATGTACTACAGCTTGCAGTACCAATTCAAGTTTCATAAGTCAGACAAAGACCAACAATATCCTGTCTGGTTGGCCGTGCATGGATGGATCAACAATTGATGAGTTCCACCCTTGCTTTTCTTCTCGACCTACTGCATTCTTCAAATGGTTTGAAATCAACATATATCATTGCTTATAAAAGAAAATTTTGTGCTTTACTTTGGGTGATTGGAGAGGCCACACAATCATAAACCAAAAGAATTACTAATAGCAAACAAGTAATGGAATAATAAACCAAAAGGCAAATGGCCACTAAACTGGGATTCCAAGCAAAAAATTAAACTACTAAAATATTCCTAATATGTGGAATTTCTAAGATGGCCTTGATTGTTGCAATGCTCCATCAATTGTGATCGTAGATTAGAGAGTGATTATTTAGCAGGAAGTGGAGGTTGTGGTAAGGGTAAGGGTTTGGTGGTTGAGTAGTTAAGTAGTGTTGGCAGTGGTGGCTTGCTGTGTGTGAGAATGTTTTTTCTTGTTTGTTCTCCTCTCTCTCTCTCTCTCATAAGGTGGTGCCCCCTTTCCACTTTCTTAATTCAATTTCTTAATTCATTAAGGGAATGCCACCCTGTATACAAAGAGGAAGCAACAATCAATACAAAACCCAATACACCTACATATTTATCAAAAACCCTTACAAAATGAATGAACTAATCGAGAGAGGGGTTCACAACCCCTGATTCTCAACCATACAAATTATTGAAGAACTCTTCAGCTTATACAATGGAACTGGAGTCTCTATACAATCAAAAGGCCTTTGATTCCTAGCTCCCCACATTATCCACATAAGGCATCATGGAATCCATAAATCACTTCTCCTCTTTCCCTCTCTGGTGGCGTAAATTTTGAAAATTTGCCTAAACCCGAGGTTGTGATAAGAAAAGGCTTAAACTTGTTGAAATCTTATAATATTCTAGATATGAATGTGTATGTTAGAATGTAGCATCAGATATGCAAATTTTACTTTATTCCACTATTTTTATTGTTGTTTGTATCTAAACCATTTATTAGTGCCTCATTTATTACCATGTAGAAAGTACAGAAGGTTAGTCAGATGGATATTATAAAGGAAAAAAAACACTCTGGGTGTATGGTACTTCTTGTCACCAAAACATATAGAAAAAGAAAAAGAAAAAGCAATGTTGATAGAAGAGAGATTTGTCAATCCAACTTGTGGCAAGAATTTATTCGCCATTCCTTTTGCAGTTGCTAATGCTAACATATGTCTTGTTGGTCTATATTATCTTCTACCGATACAGGTGGGTTACCTTTCAGCTTCCATAAGATCTGTAGCAGATGCTAGGGTGGGTGACACTATAACACACTACAGTAGAAGGGCAGACCAATCATTGCCTGGATATAAAGAAGCCACTCCAATGGTGTTCTGTGGCCTGTTTCCTGTTGATGCGGACCAGTACTGATCTTTTCCTTAATCATTCTTATTTTTTTTTTTATTTTATCAAATTCTATATTGAAATCTTGTGCACTCCTATGTTGCTGGCATGTAATCTATGACTATTGTAGGTTTCCCGAGTTACGTGATGCATTGGAGAAGCTGCAACTCAACGATGCTGCATTAAAGGTAATTGTATTTCTATTAAGTTGGGAAATAACATTAGTCAGGAGGGTAAAATTGTAGTCTTGCTTTTGCAATTAATAGTTTATAGGGAAATTCTATTCGTACACCAAATAAAATCTTAGCACACCATTTGTCGTTCGGATATAAATTTCTGAACAATAGTCAAATGTTCGGACATAAACTTTTGAACAAAAATGAATTGTTTAGATATACATTCCATTCCAATGTTAATATCCGAACAACTGATTTTTTGTTCAGATGTTTATGTCCGAATATTTGACTTTTGTTTGGAAATTTATATCCAAACAACATAAATGGTGTACCATCGAGATTTTCTATGGTGAGCAATTTGAATTGCCCTAGTTTATATGGGAGCTTCAATTTACAACATTAAATCATCTCAATACACCCTCATTTTTCATTATAATTTTATCCCCATCTAAAATTACCAAGAAGCACTCAAATCCTAGACATTCAACAACCTAATTTCTCATTCCACCCATCCCTTCCTCTACCATCTTCACCGGCCCACCACCACTGCTGCTCATGGGCACCACCCCTCCATTCCCTTCACCGCTTGCCGCCTCCCCTCCTCCACCTTGTCAGTCGCTGTCGCCATCACCCCAGCCCCTCTCCTGCCCACCCCAGCCACCCCCTACCTCAGATTTCCCCTCCCCTCGTCAACATATATCATTGCTTATAAAAGAAAATTTTGTGCTTTACTTTGGGTGATTGGAGAGGCCACACAATCATAAACCAAAAGAATTACTAATCACCATACCTCCCCTTCCTGACATTCCCAGTTCCTCCCCGCCACCCCCTTCCCTTTTTAAATTAAAGACATGGTCTAATGTCTTTCGTTTAGATTTCAGCATTTTACTATTTGGTTTGGCATAAAGTTTTCTTCAATCATTTTAAAAAAAAAAATTTACAGTTCAAAATTTTATACTAGAAAAATTTGAAAATGCAAAAGCTTTGTTTTCTACGGAAACAACTTGAGAACATTTGGCAGCTACATTTTTGGTTTCTGTATTTGAGCCCGAACTTTAATTCTGAGAGATGAAATTTGGAAATTTTCTTGGCTTTACTTTTCTCTGAAACCAGTATTTTTTCTTTGCATATTTACTTAGTTTCAACCATGCTTCACACTGGTCACGGAGAGATCATCCTGGTTCTTGTCCTGAAAATCAGCCTATGAACTGGCCTTTAATACAGCTCCGGTGGGTTCCCTCAAGGAAGCCCCTATCAGCTGCCAGCTCATTCAGAGCCTTGGGCTCTTCCCACTGCTTTCTGTTTCACTCCCATGACCCAGAATTGTGTGCCTGAAATTATTTATCCTGATGCTTTGTTGATGTCTTCTAGTTTAAGATTGCCTCTCATAAGATTTCTCTATTTGAGAGGCAATTGTCAAGGAACTAGCCTTATATGCCTATGAATACAATATCCATTTCCCACACTAGAACGGACTTGCTTCTAAATCCCTGAAATTGGTCTTATTGGTTTCCATTGTATAACTTGTAACTTCAGTGCGGTATATGATGAGTTTATAAGTTACTCACTGGTGAGATTTCTTATCCCCATTTTTAATGTTAATGCAGTTTGAACCTGAAACCTCAAGTGCCATGGGTTTTGGTTTTAGATGTGGCTTTTTGGGGCTTCTACATATGGAAATTGTTCAGGTTGGCATTTAACCGTGTCCTTCTCGCTCTCTTGGTGATATCGATTTGTGTTACTATTAATTGTAATATCTTGAGATATTTGCTCTGATAAAGTTTTGGTCCCACAGGAAAGGCTTGAGAGGGAATACAATTTGACGCTAATAACTACTGCTCCAAGTGTTGTATACCGAGTGATCTGTGTAAATGGTGATACTGTAATTTCTGCTTGATCCCAAACTCCATGCACATTCTTATAACTAATATTCTTCTCTCTCTCTCTCTCTTTTTTTTTTTTTTCTTGGTTTTCTAAGAATGTTGAACTGATAAAATATTTCATATTTGACAATAAATACCTACTAGAGGCCTAAGGATTCAAGGTTCAAAAGAAATCCATGCTATGCTGTTGTTTTATTCTTATTATTTTACCAGGCTCATAGCATGACTCTAGTCATAGCTTAATGTATATAGGCTAATGCATATATGTTAAAATCCACCTACTCTCCACCTACTTCACCCACTTAAACCTCCTCCACTAAACCTAACCCACTACACCACTACCACCTCACCTACTCCACTAAACCTAACCCACTTATTCTTATTATTTTACCAGGCTCATAGCATGACTCTAGTCATAGCTTAATGTATATAGGCTAATGCATATAAGAGTAATAAAGGTTTACACAAATATCTCAAAGATAAAAAACCTACGCTTATCTTTTAATTAACCTTGTGATAAAGGCTAGATAAATTTTCTAGTTATGATCTCTCCCAAGTGGTAATTTTGATGCTTTTTGCTCATGGGAAATTGCCAATATTGCTCTAATATTAATAGACTATTTGAAATTGGTAATATTTTTTTTAATTTTCCTATGGAAATCAATTTTTGAATGGTTCTCTATTGAAACTGTCAACGTGTTGTGTTACCAAAAAATGTTAATGACGTAGCAATTTTTGTTTTGGTGTGCATGATCCGAAATATGGTACAACCTGACTAATCCAAGATAATTGAAACTTGAGGAGCCTTAGTTTCTGTTATATTGGTAAAGTAATAGTTAGCACCCTGGAATGGATTTCTGCAACTTTGTGAAAAAAAGTAGGGCACTTGGCATTTAAAATCCCCATGTTTTGCCGATGCGAGCATGGAAAAGGCAGCAATTGGCATTTAAACTCTCACATCTTGCCGATGCGAACGTGGAAATGGCATCATACAAACTTTCATGTCTTGCTGATGCGAGCATAGAACGACACCTGGGCCAAATAAAATCACACAAACAATCTCGTATTCTTTAAAAACCCAACTCTATAGACTGTTAGACTTCTAATTATAATATGATTGGGATTATAAATTTTTTTTAAAAAAAGAGTTTATACTATGATTGGGACTTGTAAATATGTAAGTAAGAAATTCTGACTAACTAGAATATTCTTGACCCAATAACCATGTAAAAGAATTAAAACTACTTGACCCCCCCTGAAGTAAACCCTATTATAATCCACATACTGTAAATCTTGAAATTATGAAATAAGCCTTGATTAAAAAATGTAATAAGAGAAAAATGGGTATGTCCACCAGCATAATATCCTATAAAAAAGACAAAAGAATAAGACTGAGATAGAACCTCAATTTAATTTTCATTTAACAAGGTTCAAAGCTTCCGCAGTTTTGCAACACCATTATATATATTTCCTTTAGCTTTTTATTAGTTATTTTCTTCATCTTCACTGTAACTTTTTCCTTTATTTTCTTTTGTAGAATACAGAAACTTACTTTTTTCCTTCCTATTATACATGCCATATTATTGCTATCAATTTATTTAGTGTGAATTCTTATTTTGCTGATCTAGGTTGAATGTTCTAATCCATCTGTACTTCCTGAACCTGGAAAAAGGAGGTCAATTGAAGAGCCATTTGTCAAGGTTATTGACTGTTCCCTAGATGATTTCCATTTTTAGATTTGTTGGATGTAATGAAGTTTCTTTTTGAAGCTTGTATTCTATGCTTCTGCAAAATATGCGCAGATTGAGATGCTCACTCCAAAAGACTATATTGGCCCTCTCATGGAGCTTGCCCAAGAACGACGAGGAGAGTTCAAAGAAATGAAATTTATAACTGAGATTAGAGCTTCACTCACCTATGAGTTGCCTCTGGCAGAGGTACCCGTAGGCAATTGTGTCATCCTTGTTTATTGACAACATTACGTGAATGCTATGTTCAATTTTTTGTTGATTGTCTCTTCTATATAGGTTGGCTATGTTTTTTTCTTTCTTGATTTTTTATTTTTTTTGCATTAGGTAAGTTGCATTGTGAATTTGTTTTGCAGATGGTAGGGGATTTTTTTGATCAGCTTAAGTCCAGAAGTAAGGGTTATGCTAGCATGGAATACTCTTTTATCGGGTACGTTGATGTGCTTTGGCTTTTGCAATAAATCATGCCTCAATTCTCATCTCACAAAATGTATTGTATGAAGACAGATGGAAATCCACCATCTGAAAAAGAAGACAGATGGAAACAAGGAAACAAATGGTTAAAGTTGTCTTGTGGACTTCAGGACTCAAGTGTTCAGTTTTCTCAACTGGAAAGAGTCATTCATTAGTAAAAAAAGAAAAGTCTACTTGTAGTTTTTTTTTGTTTTTTTTTGGGGAGGGGAAGCATGGCCATATCCCCCAAAGGGCGTGCTCATTTCCATAGACATGTGTTGGATACACATCTATCCATGTCCTATTTTTTTATATTTGTTTAAGCTGGGCATATGTTGGATACATTGGGAACACATGCCCATTTTTCAGGTCGTCTCATGGACATGGCAGGGTTCCTTTTTATAAGAAAAGTTTCCTTACAAAAATTTACTTTGTAGATTTATGTTTGATAAAATCATAAAAATAACTTTGTAGTTTTAATGAAGAAAAGTAAGGATGTGTTCTTTGATCTAGGTGACCAAAACCAGAGAGAGAGAGAGAGAGCCCTAAAACTCAGATCTGGCGGTCGATAACCAGTGACCAGTCAAGAGATGTAGAAGAAGACCTACCTGATCTTAAGCCCCACCGAATCTTCAGGCTCCAAAACTCCACCCATTTTCTTTTTGATTAAACTGTGCCCTTTTTTTTTTCTCTCCACATTTTGACATGATCGCCATTCACTTGACATGATATATGAAGAAAAAAATAAACAGACCCAAAACAACGCACCAATTAAAAGACTTAATAAAATTTTATTATAATTTTTGATTTGTGGATGTTAATAGATACATATATATGTTACATGGATTCGGATACGATTATTGGGTGTAGGTGTGTGTCCAAATGCCAAGACTTCCTAAACCCTAAATATTAGGATATGTATCCGAAAGTGGAGTATGGGTACGTAAACACATCTTCAACATTTAAATACGTTGCGTATTGTATGATATTATGACATAAGATGTTGTAAATTATTAGGAATGCATTTAAAATGAAATGAGATTTAAGGAAAAAGGGATATTTTGATCTCTCATGCATGTCAAAAAGTTTTCTTTGCTACCAAATGTGAGCTTCTTTTTTAGACATCATAAAAATTTAGAGGATCCAAGTCTTAGGGGTTGTTTTGGGGTGTCTTAAATAAATGCACTTTTTGACTTTTTGGACTAAAAAGTTGAGGAAAAAAAAATAGTTGTTTGGATTAACTTCTTATGAAAAAATGTGTATTAAAAAATTATATAAATTAGTGTGTAGGAGAAGATTAAGAGTGTGAGTTGTACAACCGTACTATCGGCGTAGCTAAATTGATGCTAAGAAATGATTGGCTACTTTTCGGGCATTGCACTGGACGGTGTTGCTCGGCCCGTGGGGGCCATCACGGGTCCTGTTTTGATAATCTGAACCATTCAATATGTAGAACTCGTCGAGTACTATATGCCTATAAAAAATTACGTTGATTGGATATCGATAGCTATTTGATTAGATTAGTTTTTTTTCAACAGTTAACTATAACACCATCCATTTTTTTATACAAAGCTGATTTGATCATGTAGTTAGCGATATCCGATCAATGTAATTTTTAACAAACATATAGTACTCGACGAGTTTTACACATTGAACGGTTCAGATTATCAAAACCGGACCCGTGATGGATCCCCACAGGCCGAACAACAGTGTGTTAAAATTGCATCCCAACTGTGCAATTTTTTTTAAAAACCGCAACCACATATCTGAACCGGTCAGATCTGTCTTGTAATTTTGTATGTAAAATTAATTTTTTAATATTTTTTTTTTAGTGAATAGTGATAACTTTTTGTCTTTTTTTGGACATGCCAAACTGGGCCTTAGTAGCAGAAAACTTCTACTTGGTTGACTTTTTAAACTCAGAATGCATTTCCTTGCTCCCAAGTATAAAACTTGTAAGAAAGTCCTCCGGTCGAGGAAGAAACTCGCTCCCAACTAAGATAGAAATTTTTAAACATACCAATCTTAAATAAACAAATAAAAAACTTATTATAATATTTTTATTTACGTAATATTTATATATACATATATTTGACAAAGACAATTTGTAATCGACATCAATCTCAAATATTTATTCATATGTTGACACATATATTACAACTAAGCGAAAAAAATGATTTTTAGAATATATTTATATATTTAATATATAAAATTTATACACACTCCCTTAGGCGCCCTCAAACTTAGAAAATTTTATATGCTCTCGTTCCCACCCCACCCTCTACCTTGTCTCCCGCTTCCGCTCCTGTCCCTACTTGCAATTAAGATCCAAGTATTTAATTTAGGTTTTAAGTGTCAGACACATATTCCATACCTTACCCTTATCGTATGTAGTGGCCACAGGTACACTGAAGGTAATAGAAAAGTCCATGTAACACTTATATAGATAATAATATATATGCATGGACTTATTAGAAAATTATTTTGTTGATGTATTTGTATTGTATTGTATTGTACCTATGTCCTATGCTCATGTCCATTCTTCTTAGTTTTCTTTTGTCTTTCTGGGGTTAATGAATAAAAACCTAACCCACCTGAAAAGTATGTCATCTAAATTTGCCTTTCTTTTTTTTCTTTTTCCTTTTTTATTATTTTATATTTAAATTTATTATTATTATTTTTTACATGGCATGCATGCATCTATACCTTCTTGCTTTTTTTTTTTGTGTTATGTTTATGATTACAGGGTTTTTGTTTTTACGAATTCATCATACCATTAATAATTTCCATTCATCATCTTAACTGCCAGGTACAAGGAAAGTGATTTGATAAAACTTGACATTTTGATAAATGGTGATTGCGTGGAACCTTTGGCAACAATTGTGCACAGAGATAAGGTAACTTAGCTCGTTTTCTTGAGTTCGTCACTCTAATTCTAAAAAGTACACATAAAAAGGAAACAAGGCTTGAAGAATTGAAGGGTTGTAGGCCTTAAACTAAGAAAACTTGGGATTGGAGTGTAGAGGTTTAAAATGCAATTAAAGGAATGATGCTTACATTGAAATTTACATACATGTAGGAATAAAAAAACATTGAAATGTAAAGAAAAGCTAAAACGACGCTAAGAAAGTCATTAGGGAGGCTAAACATGGGGTTGTGATGATCTGTATCTTGAGTTAAAAATACAAAAGATGGGAAATATTAAATATCTACATATATATGAACTTTCCTGGATAAGAGAAAGAAAAGTAGAGACCTAAGCTATGTTAAACATATTAGAAATGATGATGATAAAGTGCTAGTAAAGGAATATGAGATTAATGAATGTTGGAGGCCTTATTGCTAAAGCAATTTATTGGAAACTAGTTAGAGAATGTCATGTGATTATAGAATTCCTGATAAGTTGAAAACAAAGTTCTATAGGACAATTGTAATTCCAGTTATGTTGTATGGTACAAAATGATGGAAAATAAAGAATTATTTTTTTTAAGGAAATGAGCCCCCCTAAAATGATTATTTTGAGATGGATGAATGGTTTATCCAAATAGGTATGTCAAAGTAATGTAAAGTTTGGGTTTGCTTTGGTAATTACTATTCGTATTAAGGTTCAAAGACATTGTGGTAGTTTTCCCTTTATATTTAAATATCAATGGAAAAATGATGTCGACACGTGGTTAATAATGTTTTACTTGTGATGGCTGCAGTAAAAGTGCCACACTATCTGGTGATTTCGTTAGTGTGGAAATTCAGGTTGAGTATCAGGACCACCACTTTGTGGAATCATAGCCAGAAATTAAGTCAGCACCCAGTCCACTGCTCTCAAAATCAACATGGGACTATCTTGTGGGCAATGGCCCTTCTTATTAATTGCTGTAAATTTGAAAAAAAATAAAAATGATGCATACGTTTGTATTAATATCGTTAGTCAGTCGAAACTCCAAATCATATGAAACTGTAGGAAACACTATATGTAGGTGCTAAATATATGCTGAACAGGCAGAGAGGAGAAGGGGAGGGACTTGTGCTGTTGCTGTGGACATTAGTTAGATATATCTTCCAATGTCAGTAGAGAAATTGGCTCTATCGTGATATTTGATTGTTCATCTTCGTAACATTAATAACCAATATCTGTTAAAGATTCCATCAGATTTCCCATGAATACATCAAATTGTAATTGATACATAATTGAGAATTTGTGGTGAAGATGTAGGTCTTGAGCAAATAACTGGATAATTATATCTGTCTAAAGTATTTTTTGTCTATTGGAAAATGGGTACTTTTCTTTGGAGTTTGTTTTCAGTTATTCCTTGGTGGGATATGAAGGTTTGCTCTTGGCTATTTATGAATTTTCACAAGTGGCTAAACATAAAATTTATAAATATTTGATTCTTTTTTTTTTTTTTTTGAAATAAATATTTGATTCTTAGCCTTCCACCTTTGTAGTTTCTTGAGTTCAATGTTTATGCACTCTTATGTTTATTTTCCCCCTAAAATTGTTTTACTGACAAAGTTGTGAGATTAATGCTTGATGCCTTTTTCAGTCATATGCAGTGGGGAGGGCGTTGACTCAAAAGCTGAAAGAACTTATACCACGACAAATGTTTAAAGTTCCAATCCAAGTAAGATCCATATCTTTCTTTAGTAGATAAATGGACCAGGAATTCAGCAACAACAATGATAAAGAAAAAATTTAGGAGTCTTTTGGGTACATCCTAAGTTGAGATTATAAGAATTTGTGTGGTACATTAAATTATTAATCACATAATATCCTTTATTCTAGTTACTGACGGATTAGATGTGAGCTTCAAGTCATATGTTTCTTGTTTTGTGATCCTCCTTTGCAACAAATCTTTGTCCTTTTTCTCTTTATGAAATGGAACAATCTGCAATATATGCATCCACTAGAGCCCCTTTCAATTGGCTCATAGCTTTGTCTGGAGCAGTTGAATCATGGAGCAATGTTTTGAAAACCGTACCATTGAGCTAAATGAAAAATGAATTGGGTGGACGGGTCACTGGTTCGATCATTGGGTCAAACCGGATCGAAACATGACATCATAATTATTTCATAAATATTTAAAAATAATATATAAATACAAATGTTGGCAATAATTTTTTTAAGCTAAATATTATGAATTAAAATTTGATTAGTAATTTTAACACTTTAAATTTAAAAAAAGTAATATATAACTATATAATATATTAGATATAGGTTCTTGATATGAATATTATATATATTACTATTACAATTAGTTATATAAACAAGTGGAGTGGCTCAGTGGTAACATGGGCCTTATTTATACCATAGGTCATGGTTTCAAACCTTGGCAAAACCATTTGGTACATAATTTTTAATGCAAGGAAGACAACAACATAACTGGGCCGGTTTTGGGTCAACTAGTTTGGTGGTTTAACTGCGAATTAAAGTGAATTTCATAAAATACTCCGGTTCTTTGTGCAGAATAGTTCTAGCATAGACCCGAACTGGACCAAGGACCTGTTGATGATCAACCTGTCCAACCAGCCGGTTCGGTTCGGTTTTCAAAACCATGTCGTGGAGTATGGAAAATTAGGGTTAGGTGAGAAGAATGGATTGGAAGAGAGTTTTTTTAAATAGGTTAAAGGCTAAAAATTGATCAGCCCCTTCACCTTAGCATGTATTTATATTAGAGTTCAATTTCTAGTGATTCTATATAGTTGGGTGACAAGGATTGTGTCCCCGGATTTGTTTGTGATTGTGGATTTTATCAATACTCTGTGTTTAGAGTTGGTTTTCTTGATATTGTCAGATGTATTCTTTAGCATCAGCTTGATGCTCTTTAGCTAATAAAAGTGTCATTATGTATTAAAAATTAAAAATAAAATTAGCATGATATGATTACAAGAATACCGTCGACTAAGATGAAAAAATAACAAGAAATGACACTCCCTCAAGCATGAAACTAGTTTATCTGAAACTATTGTATTATCTTGGAGACTGTTGAAGCTTCCATATCTGCCTTTTTCTTCTTTTTGACATAAATATAATTGCATAATGTAACCATCAACTTGATGGGGATCCAAAGAAGGGTGGGGGGTCAATTAAATTTGGTGGGGGCAATTAGTAGCACTCTCCATGTAACATAGCACTTCAAATTTTACAGTTCAAACGGGCAGAAAAAGTATCTGTGAGGGAAAATTATATTTTTATTGTAAAACTTTGATCATTTTGGAGTTTAATTACTATAGTATACTATAGGGATTTAGCTGCAGTTTGTAACAAGGTGGAGTACTATGTATATATTCTTTTGGTTCAGCGGTCAGGGGTGTCCAGGCCAACTTACATGCCCGTTGACTAATCCTCTCCCCGGTCTAGTCAAAGGCAGGCCATCCATGCCAGGGCTAGAGAAATTGCGAGAAATTACTTTTTTGCAACCTAGCCCCAAGAATCAAGCCCTGAGCAATTGTGTGGGGAGCACACCCACCAATTGTGTGGAGTACTATATTGACATATCTCTAAATTCAATGTTGGGGATTATAATGTAATTCTTGTTGGAACATCAAAGCTCCATGTTTAATTATAGCATGTTTTAATGAACTTTCTCTTCATTAGTAGACTTGGAAGGTCGACAGCATGAGGTGATGGTGCATATATTTACCTTACAAGTTGAACTTAGTTTTTTTATTTTATATATATATATATATATATATAAGAGGTTGGCTATTGTAGTTGGACGAGAAATTGTTGTGTCAACTGTAATGCTCATCATGCTTGAGCCTTGCATATAATTAGTACCTTTCTTGAATTGGCTAAATTTATTGACTCCTTCCTATGGGTTTTCCATACATTGCCAAGCAGAAAACTAGAAGAATGTAAATACAAAAAAGAAAAAAAATGAATGAGAAGACTTTGGCAAAAGAAGTTTTTTTTATTAACTGTATTTTTACATCAGCATCGACCAAACCAGAGGAGTTGTTTTGCAATGCTGTTTCAAAAAGCCCAAGAAGACCTTTGTAGCATTTCTTTCTATTGAGTTTTACACTCCAAAATTTATGAAGATCAGTTTCAGCCTGCAGGTTTCCCTTTTTTAGTATGGCAAACCATATTTCCCAATCAGTGGAAGCTGGGTCATTTATTATTCGATAAATATCATCTCAAAAAGATCTAGAAGGACGTACTCAATAGATTTTTTGGTGAATGTAGATTCCACGTAAGATGGATTTAAATTTTCACCTTTATTTTTTATTTTATTTTATTTTTTTTCCCTTTTCCAGTCCAGAAGGACCAGAACTATGTTTTTCTTTACTGCTCTCTTTATTGTGGAGGCTAAATTGATGGATTCAAGTCCTTTTCTTTTTTTCCTTTGTCCGATATGGAAGGACCATTGCTATATTTCTATTTATAGAGCTCTTTATTGAGACTAAATTTTTTAGGGCTTTTACTTCTGCTGAAAAAATGTTTGATTTTTGAAGATTAGTGTGACCTTAATGCCATATAAAAAGATAAACGAACATACCCACATGTTTTAAACAGGATTGCTTCAATTGCCAAATATCTTTTCATTTCAAACCTTGCAACTGAGAGTCCTTGGTACTAAACACCTGTTGTTTCTTTATTTCTTTTCTTTTTTTCATATTGAGCACATCATTGCTGATGTGAAGTTAATTCATTTTGTTTGTCAAAATTTGATTCCCAACTACAAGATATGTCTATACATAATCTAAAATATACTTTTGTTAACAGATTAATGCATATAAATTGGGAATTCTTGCACCACTGTAATTTTTCCTTGGTACACTTGGTTTTAACACCGTATGTTGTTTCTTTCATGACAGGCAACCATAGGTACCAAAGTGATAGCAAGTGAATCTTTGTCCGCAATTAAGAAGGATGTTCTAGCCAAATGCTATGGTACGATGAACAAATCTGCTCCCTTTGAATGTGACAAACTTCTAACAGCATTGAAGTAATTTTGATCCCATTGGTGTAGATACTTGTGGTTTCTTACATCATAATACCACAAAATTTGATCTTGGGTTTCTCGATTGTGGGGGAGAATAATATAGAGCATGGAAAGAAGAAATATTGGATGGATCATGGCCATCTTCTAATGAGATTGGGCATTAGTCTTAGTCTTAAATTGATCATGGGCATCTCCTACACTTGGGTCTTTCAATTAGCCCAAAATACCATAAATAGCTACTGTCAAAAACTTCTAGTGACCATAAAAATCTGTAAATCCAGCAACTTGCAACATCTGGAAACCAACTTGGATATGAAAATCTTAGCAGTTTTTCCTTTGTCCTTGTTAAAAATACTGTATTATTGATTGTTATTGATTACAAGATTGTTTTATTACAATTCCTATACAATCTATATATAGAAGAAAATGTGGTAGTAAGTGTAGTGGAGGTGATAGTGGGTTAGGTGAAGTGGAGTGTGTGGTGAAGTGGAGGTAGGTGAAGTGGAGTGTGTAGTGGAGTAGGTGAAGGTAAAGATGGGAAATTCTAACAGCCCCCCGCAAACTCAAGGAGGATAGAAACTAACCAACTTGAGTTTGGAGAGAGGAACAAAACAAGAAAATACATAAAAATAAAAAAAGATAGGAGACACTGTATGGTTGTGTCAGACCGTTGGTGAAGACACTGAAAGGTGGTGCCATAACGTGGTAGAGGACACTGGATGTGGTGTCATAACGGTGTAGAGGACACTGTATGGTGGTGTCATAACGGTGTAGAGGACACTGAAGGGGGTGTCATAACGGTGTAGAGGACACTGGATGGTGGTGTCATAACATGTAGAGGACACTGTATGGGGGTGTCATAACGGTATAGAGGACACTGTATGCTAACCGGAATCAAAGTCGGGACAGTTTATAGGGTCATGTCGGACCGTTGGTGAAGTTGCACCCTCAAAAGGCGTGCCCAATTTTATCAAAAGGCGTGCCATCAAAAGGCGTGCCATCAAAAGGCGTGCCATCAAAAGGCGTGCCATCAAAAGGCGTGCCATCAAAAGGCGTGCCATCAAAAGGCGTGCCATCAAAAGGCGTGCCATCAAAAGGCGTGCCATCAAAAGGCGTGCCATCAAAAGGCGTGCCATCAAAAGGCGTGCCATCAAAAGGCGTGCCATCAAAAGGCGTGCCATCAAAAGGCGTGCCATCAAAAGGCGTGCCATCAAAAGGCGTGCCATCAAAAGGCGTGCCATCAAAAGGCGTGCCATCAAAAGGCGTGCCATCAAAAGGCGTGCCATCAAAAGGCGTGCCATCAAAAGGCGTGCCATCAAAAGGCGTGCCATCAAAAGGCGTGCCATCAAAAGGCGTGCCATCAAAAGGCGTGCCATCAAAAGGCGTGCCATCAAAAGGCGTGCCATCAAAAGGCGTGCCATCAAAAGGCGTGCCATCAAAAGGCGTGCCATCAAAAGGCGTGCCATCAAAAGGCGTGCCATCAAAAGGCGTGCCATCAAAAGGCGTGCCATCAAAAGGCGTGCCATCAAAAGGCGTGCCATCAAAAGGCGTGCCATCAAAAGGCGTGCCATCAAAAGGCGTGCCATCAAAAGGCGTGCCATCAAAAGGCGTGCCATCAAAAGGCGTGCCATCAAAAGGCGTGCCATCAAAAGGCGTGCCATCAAAAGGCGTGCCATCAAAAGGCGTGCCATCAAAAGGCGTGCCATCAAAAGGCGTGCCATCAAAAGGCGTGCCATCAAAAGGCGTGCCATCAAAAGGCGTGCCATCAAAAGGCGTGCCATCAAAAGGCGTGCCATCAAAAGGCGTGCCATCAAAAGGCGTGCCATCAAAAGGCGTGCCATCAAAAGGCGTGCCATCAAAAGGCGTGCCATCAAAAGGCGTGCCATCAAAAGGCGTGCCATCAAAAGGCGTGCCATCAAAAGGCGTGCCATCAAAAGGCGTGCCATCAAAAGGCGTGCCATCAAAAGGCGTGCCATCAAAAGGCGTGCCATCAAAAGGCGTGCCATCAAAAGGCGTGCCATCAAAAGGCGTGCCATCAAAAGGCGTGCCATCAAAAGGCGTGCCATCAAAAGGCGTGGGCGTGCCATCAAAAGGCGTGCCCAATC